CATCTCCTTCAGGTCTTCACCTCCTCAGTGACTTTCTCAGTTAGACTTGTCCCATTACAACACTTTATAGTGCCCCCTTCTCTTCCCTCAATTTATATCATTCCTTCACACTTATTAACATATATTTTCATTGTTTATATTTTGTTCCTCTGACTTCCTTACTAGACTGTAAGCTTCACAAAACAGGAAATTTTGTCTGTTGCCCTCTCCAGTATATCCCCAGCACCTAGAAAGGTGCCTGACACTCAATAAATATTTGTTGGATGTATGGTTAAAGCATAAATTAATGGTTATGAGATAATAGTAGGGTTCAGCTGATATAAAAGCTGATGTGATCTTGGGCCTCATGCAGTGTTCACATAGATATAGAAAGATATTTATTGTAAAGAATTGGCTCACGTGATTATGGAGGCTAGCAAGTTCAAATTCTGCAGAGCCAATGTCCCAGTTTGAGTCCGAAGGGCAGCAGGCTGCTGTAGAACCAGGAAGAGCTGATGCCCAGTTCAAAGGCCGTCAGCAGGAGAATTCTCTCTTACTCAGGGGAAGGGTCAGCCTTTTGTTCTATTTAGACCTTCGACTGATTGGGTGAGGCCCATACCCATTAGGAAGGGCAATCTGTTTTAGTTAGTCTACTGATCTAAATGTTAATCTCATCCAAAAACAGCCTCACAGAAATACTCACAATAATGTTTGACCAAGTATCTGGTACCCTGTAGCCCAGTCACATTGACACCTAAAACTAACCTTCACAGTACTCTCATCAGACCACACCCAAAACCCTAGGTCTTGTTCCGGGCGCCACATACCAGAGACTATGCTGATAAAGCTCTGACAACCTTGGTGTCTGGGGAGGAGTTGGGGGGAGTTGGGGCTGTTGCCCTGAAGAAGTGAAGTCGTGACTGGGGTTGAGAGATGACTTCAAACATTTGAAGGCTTATCTCATGGAAGAAAGAGGAAGGAATTCTTTGGTCTGGAAGGCCTACCTCAGACAAGTGGATGGAGGGCAAATCTTACAGGTAGAAAGTAGGAAGAGAACTCTTCTGCCTTGGGAGCTACCCAGGTCTTCTTTCTGGAAGGGTTCAGGCGGTGGCCAGCTGTAAGCGGGAGTCTGAAGTGTCCTGTTCTGGTCTGCCCTGGGTGCTGCTTCTCTGACCTTGGGTAGGCCTTTAGCTTCTCGGAGGTTTCCTCCTCTCTACCGTGGAAATCAGACTAGCCTACCTCACACGTCGTCCTGAGGATCAGGTGGAAATAACACCACCTTGTAAAACTCGTTGAGGGTTGGGGTCAGAGTGAGAGAACTGGTGGTCAGAAGGGGCGCCGACTAACCCCCTGCCGCGGCAGAAAATTTCCACTGACCCGCAGTCAGGGACGCTTCCCTGCCCCTGGCAGCTTTGCTTTCTTCTCACTGGAATGTGCCTGAGGAGTGGCAGTTGACTCCTTTTCCAAATTCCTCAGGCCTGAGTGTATGATCTGTGCTGCTGCTGGCCCTGGGGGAGACAGACGCGCAAAGTGGATGGGGCATGGAGGGAGCTTCCCCTTTCGAGGAGTCAGCTACACGGTGGCGTTGCTTTTAATTACTTCAGGATACGTTCCCGAGTTGCTCCCCATTTCTACTCTTATTTACACTGTTCACATTCTTGCCTCTGGAATGCACCAGGGTGATGTATCCCACCTTCCACTCTGAAGAAATGTACTCTCTGCATAACATATTTAAAGCCCAAGTGTTTTATTTTATGGCTGTAACATGAATGAGAAAAAAAGAGCAGAACATCCAGGGATGCTTGCCTAAACATTCAGAACTGTGCTGGCAGTGGGACAAAGGCCTTTGGACTGTTGTAGGTTTTTTCGGTGACAGGCTTAATAAAAATGACTTTTTAGCACAAGTGCTTTTCAGTGAAAAGAAGATTTTACTACAGTGCTTAAGTCAGACAATCAGATAAACATTGTTTGAAGTTCAGTGTTGATGAGTAGCTAAGCTTCAGAGGATTTATGCATAAGTTGGCATGGTTATCATTGGCAGGTAGTTGGTTCAGGAGCTTTTTCTTATGCAGGTGATGTCAAAACAAGGTCAAAGCTAAATGGTCCCCCCTGGTTTTGCTTATAACTGGCATTGGGACATGTAGCAAGTGTCATTACTACACTTGGTAGCACTTTATGGTGCCTGATACATAGTAAGTGTACAGTAAATGGTGACTGTTGTCAGTGGTCATAGTTTACGCTCAGCTTATTAATGATTAGTTCTGGGTTTCCCAAGCCAATACAAACCAGAAAGGTTCTATTATTCTTTATTAAGTACTAAACGGCCCAATTTCTAGGATAGAAAGAGCTGTCAATTTGGGGATCCAGTTTGGGGATCCAGTAGATGTTCGAGTGGCAGTAACGTTCGGTCAGTCCAAAGCGTAAACCAGGATTTCTCAGTCATGGCGCTGTTGACATTTAAGATAATTATTTGTTATGGGGGCTGTCCTGTGCACTGTAGGATGTTTAGCAGCATCCCTGGCCTCTATTCACCAGATGCCAGTAGCTCCTCCCTCCCAGTTGTGACAATCAAAAATGTTTCCAGGCATTGCCAAATGTTCCCTGGGGGGCAGAATCACCCCTGGTTAAGAACCAGTGGTATAGAGGAAACTGTGAGATGCATGTCGGGCTTTTCAAACTGTGGATCACGCAGTGCCCATTAAGGCTAGGCTTCTCAACTGTGGCTGAACATTGGAATCACCCAGGGATTCCAATCATCCAAAAAAATTCCTTTTTTTTTTTGCGGTACGCGGGCCTCTCACTTTTGTGGCCTCTCCCGTTGTGGAGCACAGGCTCTGGATGTGCAGGCTCAGCAGCCATGGCTCACGAGCCTAGCCGATCCGCGGCATGTGGGATCTTCCCGGACCAGGGCACGAACCCGTGTCCCCTGCATCGGCAGGCGGACTCTCAACCACTGCGCCACCAGGGAAACCCCCCAGGGAGCTTTAAAAAATCCTGATGCCTGGCTCCCACCCCCAAGTTCTAATCCGGCTTATGGCCTTGGCCTCAGGATATTTAGAAACTCTTCAGATGCTTCTAGTTTTCAGCCAAGAGGGTGACTACAGCATGAGTAGGTGATGGAATCAATTTGGTGAAGTGCTTCTTTGCTAGCATTTAAAAAGTATATGTATATATAGTTGAAGAGAAAATATTAATGCTTAGCATAATAGTTGGGGTAAGTACTGTTTTGTATGTGTGTGGAGGCTGAAAACACTGCTGGCAAGGGTAGAGCTCTAAGCAAAATCCCTGCCCTCAACCTGCTGTTAGTCTGGCTATAACCACTTAAGAAACTGCTTGCTTTTTGTTAATGATAGTTAATGTGAAAACATTTTTTATTGAGGTATAATTGACATATAGCATTATATTAGTTTCAGGTGTTCAACGTAGTCTTCAATATTTGTATATATTGTAAAATGATCACCACAATAAGTCTAGTTAACATCTGTCACCATACGTACAGAATTTTTTTTCTTGTGGTGAGAACTTTTAAGATCAATTGTCTTTAGCAACTTTCAATTATGCGATACAGTGTTACTAACTATAGTCACTAAGCTGTACATTACATCCCCATGACTTATTTAGTTTATAAGTTAAAGTTTGTACCTTTTGACTCCTTCACCCATTTCACTCACCCCCTACCTCCCACCTCTGGCAACCACCAATCTGTTCGCAGTATCTGTGAATTTGGTTTTTTGTTTTGTTTTTAGACTCCACATATAAATGAGATCATATGGCATTTGGCTTTGTCTGACTTACTTCACTTAGCATAAGGCCCTTGAGGTCCGTCCATGTTGTTGCAAATGGCAAGATTTTATTCTTTTTTATGGTGGAAAATATTCCATTGTGTATATATACCACATCTTTATTCATTCATCCATGGGCACTTAGGTTGTTTCCATATCTTGCCTGTTGTAAATAATGCTGCAGGGTGCATATATCTTTTCAAGTTAGTGTTTTCATTTTCTTCGGATAAATACTCAGAAGTGGAATTGCTGGATCGTATGGTAGTTCTGTTGTTAATGTGAAATTTAATACAAAACATTTAGAGTTCTGCGGCTTGGGAATTTTTGAGCCTTTTTGCTCACATTTTGAGGTTCCACCCTGACACTGATAAAATCAGTTATAAATGCTAGCCGATAAAGATGACATGCATATTTTCACCAGCAGCTAAATTTAATTATAGTACAGCAACAAGATGATAATTTTCCCCCTTTGTTTTTGTTAATTATATATACCATGATATGCTAGGTCAGCAATGGTCCAAATACATCCAGCAAAAAATGTGGAACTTGCATAAATCATCCCAAAAGTTTTATGAGGATCAGTCTAACAGCCTCTTGACTTCATTATCTATGGGAATTTGGGGGTCTTACAAAATAAACTGTAACACACATTCATCTCACTACGAGGAATTAGTATATAAAGTGGTAGAAGACAGGCCAGCTCTGGCCATTTTTTATCTCAGTGCTCAGGAGACATTAAACCAAAGGGACTCTTGCTGTGGTGGTGACTCTGATGGCAGAGGCTGCAACTGTGGAAGACTCGGACGTCAAGTTCAGGTGCTAGCAGGCCTTTGGGATCACTTGCACTGATCCAGAAGCCCATTACAAGCCTATGAAAACACTCACCAAGGCTTCCTATTTAACTTGAAACTCATTACTTGAAAGGTTGGCCTTCAATTTAGGTATCTGGAAAATAGTGATAAGTCTCATGATTCCTCACAATGCACTCTCTCATCACAAAGTTCTTTAAAAATTCAAAAGGACGTCCTGCATGGTTTGTAGTTTTGTCTTTACCTGGAAGGAGGTAGGCTTGTGATTGTTTCTTGAATCAGCTGCTGAAAAAAGATGATGTGCCTCTATAACAAAGGGAAGAGGTTGGATTGACAAATATCCGTTAATTGTCTGATTAGTTCTTTCTCTAATTATGATTCAGCTCTGGGTGACCGCACCACATTAAATATGCAATTCTATTTCTTCTAGGTGTCTGAGGGTTCTGTGGTCCATTTTTCATCAGGAAACTTCTCCTTGTCAGCAGAAACAGAGGAAAGGAGCTTCCCGCATGGAAATGAGCATCTGTTAAATTGGGCCCGAAAGGAATATGGAGCAGTTACTTCATTCACTGAACTCAAGATAGCAAGAAACATTTATATTAAAGTGGGGGAAGGTAAATTTTATGTAGCGTCCATTACTGACTGATTTATGACAGTCAGTTTTTTTCTTTTCTGAGACCAGGTAGTTAGGGCAGGGAATTATAGAATTACAGATTGTTGGAGCTGGCAGGGACCTGAGGGATCACTGGGGCCTACTCACCACCACATCCCCTCCTTCCCTTGTTCCTTCTGAGGAAACAGACCCGGTAATGGGGGAGAAGTGGGGAGTAGCCTGGTTGAGAGAGGAGAAGGTGGTTGTGTAGAATTTAGAAGACACCCATGCACAGAAGTCAGAAGTGAGTGGAGGCCGAGAAGCTGAGGTGTGGGAAAGGAGGGAATACCTGATGGAAGGCACGAAGAGTTAGCAGGATGGGTCAACAGTTAGAGCTTCCTCCCACTTATAATTCTGTAGACATTTGAAGCCAATGTCAGCTTTATGGCCTCGAGACATCAGTTAAGTTTTGGACAATAGCAGAGGAAAAGTGTTTGAAAATATTTTTTAATACTAATGCCTGTTACAAGGACAAATTATTGGAGAAAGGAACTGTTTAGCCTTGATAAGAAATTGCCCATTTTAATTTCCTTGCCTTGCAGAGGGATATAAATATCTGGTGACTCAACTTTGAAAGCATATTATTTCTTAAATAATTTTTTTATCATTATTTTTAGTTGAGGAGCTCCCGAATAAGTTACTGGAAATAACAACTCTTGTGAATGGGTCCTTGTTACAGTCAGGTGATTGTGTGAAAAATGGCATTTCAGGGCCTCAGGGTCCATCTGCTTTCTTTTGAAACCTACAGCAATTGTCACCTCTTCCACAGGCAGCGTGGCAGCACAAGTGAATTATTGAATGCTAGTTCCTAGCCCTTTTTTGGATCTGGGATGTTTAATATAGATGCAGGAACAGGTGGACACTGAAGTTGAGTGTGTGCTCTGTGCAGAGGCCATATCAGGTGCCTTCACATGCACCCCACTCAACCCTGCCAGTAATCCTAGGAGAAAACCGTTATTTCCACCATTTTGCAGCGGGGTTGGTAGAGGGTTAACCTAATTTGCTCATATCCACATTACTAGCAAGTGACAAAGCTAGAACTCAAACTCAGGTTTCCTGACCTTTGAGTCTAATGCTTATTTCCTGATGCTGCATTTTAAGTCTTAGCCAAATAAGCATAACCTAAACGTGAAAGTAGGCTACCTGGTTGGGAAGACTTGTTTAGTCGAGTAGAGGGAGGAAGAGTTTTAGATGAGAACTGGGTTCAAAAAGTTGAAGTTTGTTACTAAACTCTCGTGGTATTCAGGCAGCTAAGCATAGAGGTCAAGTCCTATTGGGACAAAACAAAAAGTCTCTTTTAATAAAGGTTCTATGCCCTGACCAACAGTCTCTATTTCTGAAGCAGAATTCTGGTGCATATTGACTGAATATTGATTACGCCCCTGGAATTTGTTAGAATAAGAATATGTATTATGGTAACATGTAGAATGTTGGGCTCCTTTCTCTTGATGGTGCATGAGCTTCTGTGTACAGGAGTGAGGGGTTCCATGACTTTCCCAAGGCTGCACACTGGATCACGGAAGAACTTTAAGGACCTTGTGTCCCACCCAGTAAAAACTGTTTAACTCCTTGGTGACACCTTTGGAGCCCCTGAAACTTGACCCCAGCCACCAGTTGGGTATAAGTCACTGGCCCATACCATGGAGAGGAGCAGCTGGGAGAGTGAGGGCCCTTGTTTAGGTTGGTGGACGACAGGCGATGTTGTCTATCACCATGGATTGGACCCTG